AGAGAGAGAGAGAGAGAGAGAGAGAGAGAGAGAGAGAGAGAGAGAGAGAGCATGCATGAAGAAGACCAGGAGGGACAGAGAGAGAGAGAAGACAGAGAGAAAGAAAGAGAGAGTGAGCCAGCACGATGAGGATGCTGGTATTGGGTTGCTGAATTCTGCGCTGTTGAGCGCTTGGTGACTGGATCTTCGAAACTTTTTAATGTGATAATTTGTTGGAATGTCTAAGCTGCCCGTATCTGGACTTCGCATCTCCGGAATCCAGTGTGGATTTCGTGTACTCTCTCAATGTGTGTGAGTGCTCAAGGTGTCGAGCAGTGAGGGTAAATGCAGGATCTATATCCACCAACCTATTACTCTATTACTCTTTCTGTCCATCCATCCTCTCTTTCCGTCCATCCATCTAATCCATTTTCTCTACCTCCCTATTTTGTATCCTATATCTGTGCATCAACACACCTAATCTTATCTATTCAATATTTGATGTATATATCATGAGTCAATCCATATATCAGATCCATATCATCCCCCTCCCCCCCCCACACACACAAACTATTTAGTGAAAGTCCAACGAAAGTCTGGCAAAGTCATGCTTTTTTGTGCAGTTGTGTACAGCAAACACGACAACAAACACACACACACACACACACACACATACACGCGCGCGCGCGCGCGCGTGCGCACACACACACACACACACACACACACACACACACACACACACACACACACACACACACACACACACACCACGGCCTTGCTAAGCTCACCGCTCAGACCAAGGCTGAAAACCCGGTAGGACCGGGGCCCCCACCCCCGACCGGGACCCGGCCGGAAAAACAATCAAACCCACCCCCTACTTCATAGCGCACTGAAGTAGGGGGTGGGTTCGATTGTTTTTCCGGCCAGGGCATGGAGGTTGTCTGGCCTGAAAAAAGTCCGACCCGGGTCCAGTAAACCCGCCCAAAGGATTTGAAAAGGGCGGCCTATCTGAACCGTCGATCTGGAGAGGTCGGCGGCCCAGATAGGCCAATGTTCTCAAACGTTTTGGGCGCGAATATCGGCCCTACCCCTCCCATCGGCCTGCCTCTTTCCTTCCCGGCCTCAGCCCTCCCCCTGACCCAAGCCTGCCACCCGTTACCTTCCCTGCCCAATCAACCTTCGACACTGGAACTGCCGGTGTGCCCTCCCCGCCACCTCCAGCCCATCACGCCTCCAGCCCGTTGCTCCTGCAGCCCGTCGACCCCGGAGTCGTCGACCCCACCATCCCTAACAGCCACCGGTAAGCTAGTAGTTTCTTCTTCTCCTTCTTTCTTCTTTCTTCTTCTTCTTCTTCTTCTTCTTCTTCTCCTTCTTCTTCTTCTTATTATTATTATTCCTATATTCTCTTCTTCTTCTTCTTGTGCTAACTCCCGTGGTAGTTAGCACGCCTACCAACGGGTGTGCGGTTGTTGGTGGGCACGCAGCATTTTGAGGGTATGCAGCAGTTGCTTGGGTAGGTAGGTAGAGAGAGAGAGAGAGAGAGAGCTCAATTCGAATGAATCTTTCATTCTACCGTGGCAAGATTCATTTGAGGTACTGCATGTCGAGGCTGGGGCCGTGGAAGCGAAGGCTCGCGAGCGCACACGCGAGCGCGAGAGAGCTAGAGAGAGAGAGAGAGAGAGAGAGAGAGAGAAAGAGAGGTGGTAGGGTGCGCATGGAAGGGCGCAGCGGTAGGGCACACGCGCGCGGTCGTCGGTGGCCATGCGGTAGTTGGTATCTTTGGAAGTTTCTTCGGGGGACAGAGAGAGAGAGAGAGAGAGAGAGAGAGAGAGAGAGAGAGAGAGAGAGAGAGAGGTGATAGGGTGCGTGCGGTGGTAGGGCGTGCGGCAGTTGCTTGGCTAGCCAGTTGGCGAGAGAGAGAGAGAGAGTGTCACA